CTCTCTTTCCGCTGAATTCCGCGAAGAAATGAATAACGGTAAAAAAAGCTGAGCCTCCTCAAGGTGGGTCTTCAACAGGACACGAGAGGATACACCGCGCAGTAGGTGGTCCCACTAGTGGAGAATGAACGCATCGTATGCGGCCCAAGTCTTCAGAAGCGCGTTTTTGAAAGAGGTAAGGGTGAGGGGCGGGGCGTAAAGGGTCCGCGAGAGTGCGGGAGGACGAGGATGGGAGCGGTCCTAGGATCTTATACATCGAGAACGGTTGGCTCGCGCAACGTTTCCGGTGACTTCGCAGTTTTGCGATAAGTGGACGCAAAAACTGCGCAGCAATCAGCAGCAATAGCGGGAAAAGACAAAAGCAGCGAAATTGGTGGATGGGGGGGTAGCCGGGATGGGGGGTAGTCAGGTATACGAAGGTCGTTAGCTCGAAGAAAAATTAGCCGTTTGTCGGAGGCCTTACCTCGGAGATGGGTCAATCAGATACGAAAACACTTGTCGAGGCTCGAGGCATTGTGGCCGGCGAGGTAACAGGCCACTACAAAAGATTGTAGACACAGGTATACCGTCCTAATGATCAACTCAGGAATTCAAACCTTCACCAGGGGGTCCGGGGTAAGAGGAGATGGAACAGAGAGTAGCTTCCTATAATGTCATTTCGTATTCAGAACCTGGAAAACGCGTGTGATCCATTCGGTTCGTGGGCATCTGTGGGGGGTCGAGATACCTACTGCAGGATCGATTTAATAAGGGCTTTCACCATCTCCATATCACGATACTCTACATCGCATTCTTTACTCTCGTATCAAACGTATCATTGAGAAACATTGTTGCTTACGCGACGATAGAAATATGACCGTACAGACGTTCAATAATATGACGTGGCATACATGACATGGAATACTGTTATTGAGATACGATATTTTGTAATATAACTCGATTTCTGTTACGCGAAAATCTACCTAGAAAAAGAAAATTAGGAAGTTTCAGAATTTTGGAAATTTCTGTTTGCTGCAGGACCGTTTAATCACGAATGTTTATGATGAAAATTGATGAGTTACTTTTGATAAAAAACCGCACGAACAAATTTTTAGAATTGCGAGATATATATATCGTGTGCGAAAAGAAAGAGATTTAAGTTCCAATAAGAGAAAGAAAGAAGAGAGAGGGGAGGAAAGACTTAAAAATACATTTAAATTTCTAATCTGAGGTTTAAGAATATCGGATTATCGGCGCGTGAATTTTGCGGCGGTTTAGTCTTAGGAATTGTTGAAACGACATGGAGGAGAGATATGGAGGGGGGAGAAAGGGGTTCCAAAGTGACGACACTAGGACTAGACCCAAGTGGAGAACCGTGTCAGGCACAGGTTCCGATCATTCAGAGGCGTGGTCGTAAACTTTAGTGTATATGCTCCGGAGGCCACCTTGATCTGGCGGTTCGTGCGTTCGTTCGCCATCGATATGTAGCTCTTTCCTTTTTCCCTTCTCTCTTTCTCTCTCAATTACTCATTCACTCTCTGATTCGCTCTCTCTCCTTTTTTAGCGCTCTTGGTGTTCCTTTTCCGGTTTCCAGGGCGAGAAACATACCGGACTTACTTGCCGCCCAAATCAAGATAGAGCAGTCGGCTATAAAAAATGTAAATGGGGTTATTGGCCTGAGTTTTTAAAACCGATAATAGATTTTCATATCGCGTTTTAGCACGCCGCGAGCTTTAATCATTATTAATTGTTTTTTTTTTTATCGATCGTAAATTTTATGGTCAGTTCTGTACGCAGCATTAATTACCTCGACGTCTCTCTCTACCCAATCGAGACGAGGAGAGCACTTCCCTTGGCATAATTAATTACGCGGCATCAATGTACTTCTTCCTAGATCTGATCGTTTCGCAAAAAAATCAATGCTACTTATAGACAATATTTGTTTTTAATTGTCTTTCGCAATTGTGCGCACAAAGTTTGGCTCGCGCAATTACTCTTTGCACCCCACAAATTAGTTCTCAGTACGATCGGAAGATAGTCATCAGCGACTGTCAGTAGGTTTGTTTGTATGAGCTGCACGTTCGCGACTACGTTTGGCACTCGGCCAATGTAACTATCAAGCCGCGAATTGAAACAGTCGCAATTATCTGTGTTACGTGGCGCACAACTTTTTCAGCAGATTAAACGACGTTTAACTTTATTTTTCAATTCTCATACTAATTCGAGTTCTTAATTCTATCTTTACACGAGACAAAATCACAGAGTTATACTCATATTAATTATAGATATTAGATTAGTTCGTGCTTTCATGCTACTCGAATTAATAACCCTGCTTAAAATTTTCTATAAAAAACTATAGGAACATATAGGGTTTGTATAGATATTTATAGTTTTTAATAGTTTCTATAGTAGCGCACGAGAGCGACTATAGAAGTTCTACAGTTATTAATAAGATTCTATGAGTATAATAATAGAAAACTATTGCGGACTGGGATTTACCGATTCAAAACACTCATTAAAAACTATAGAATTTTCTTAATAGTTTTCTATAGAAAATTTTAAGCAGGGAAGCTTTATTAAGGGTGGCTTTACCTTTGCCGGCCGTAAAATTAGCTTATTTTTATGAAAGTATATATTCGTTTGTGTTATGCAACGAAAATTTACGAAAATCGCTCAATAAAGGATATACGTATAAATAAAAAAATAATTATATTAACAAAAAAATGTTTCGCAACCACAGGTCCTTCTTTGATAATTTGATATAAATTAATAATATAAAAAGATCGCAAATTTATCTAACATAACTATAAATTTATTTGATACTATAACATAATTATATAAATTCAACAATGAGTCGCTCGTAATGTATATTCTTGAAAGCCTTGTTTTAAAATTCAAAGACAGTGTGATATTAAAAATCGTGTTTTACATACCGACTATTTTTTTAATTACGATTGTTTGAATTCCTGTTTCAAATATATGATTACCATTGTCATCTAGTATTGTATTGTAATGATTTGATTTGGTCATCGAATCTTTTTTGTCAAGCGAATATCAGGTCCTTTGCGGTACAAAACTTGCAGCAACATTGTTGCAATATTCCTGCAACATTTAAGGTTTTGATTTTTTTATTAATTATATAAATGTTGCTATGGCTGATACTAGAATGGAAGTTAATTTATAAATAAAATTGATAAAAAGTATAACATTTCGAAAAAATCTGATTTTTGTAAAAAAAAAACTACTTTTTTAAATTTGAGTGTAAAAAATTAGGAAATATGCACGATTATAAATGCTTGACAGGCCTTAAAATCTATGTGTGAATACACGCCGGTTGAACTCTTTAAAAATACTGAGATGATGATCTACACGCGGACCGAGATAAAAACATCCGCTCTCTGACCGAGTTATTTCTTAAAAATGCTCAAAACGCTCAAACCAGTGATTACATGTATGAACTTCCATTTTTTCAATTGTAATTACATATACTTTCGTGCACTTTTATTACTGACACTTCAACACAAATAAATCTATATTAGACTTAAAAATACAAATACAATTAAAAAAATGCAATTAAGTATTCGTATAATATTTTTTTTTGGTTCATAAATAAACTACTTACAATTTAAAAAATTGATTTACATATTTTAAGATTTTGTTTTCGCAAACAAAGTACGTTCATACAAATACATAAGTTTGAAAATGGCCGCGTCTTGCGTCAAGATGGAGGTAAGTTTGCGGTAATAAGAGAGAAATCTGAGAGAGGACATGAGAGGTTTTTTTCCTGTAATCGCAAATGCCTTGCGTACTATCGCCTATTGAACAAGTAGATGTCAACTACACCACAATATCCACTTTTTTTAAGACGCGCCTAATGGAAATAAATCACTGAAATAACTAAAATCTACTAAATTAATAAAGATTTCAGCGATTTATCTTCATCAGGAGCACCGTAAAAAAGTGGATATTGTTGTGTAGTTGACATCCATTTCTTTAGAGGGCAGCAGTATGTAATAAAGCATTTTACGGTTACAGAAAAAGTGTCTTCTTTCAAGTTTCTTTTAGAATGATACTTTATAAATCTAATGATTTTATGCTGCCATACACTACTACCTCTAAAAAAATAGAAGCAGTAAATTACATAGCAAAATATTCACTTTTCTATACTGAGGACATCCACTTTCTAACTGATGATAAATCTGATTATTAGGTTCGTGTCTGTGCTACATCCACTTTTCAAGACACTCGAATAATATATTATTAAGTTTTAATCATGTATACATATATCTAAAACAAAACTAATAAATTATGAAATAAGTATCCCCTCCCCTGTATTATGAGTTCATTATTCTTAATTACCTAAATTTTAACAGTTATACAACTTTTCTTTTAAGTGCCGATGGCAGTGAGAGATGAATATAATAAATAATTATTTTTTAAATAAATTTTATTATTTTTAAAATAATAATTTATATTTTATCTCTCTTTAATTGTCTCTTTTACTCTTGCCTTTACCTCTATATTTTGTTCTTGTAGTTTTCTGATTTCTGTTTATTTCCGAGTCTTAAGTTATACTTCACGCGTTATTTTGCGCCAATCTGCTTCCATTTTTCTATTTTAAAATTGGATTTTAATTATTAAGAGGAACTAATCTGTGTTAATCTTACTTTTTTGATGTTCGACGTTTAAACTGCTCCAAGGTAAAGAAAATGGTGGCGATTTTTCGATCTTTCGATTATCGACCGCACTTGTCACCTCTCTGTTATCTAGAGGTCTATTCTTTGTTTCTGCACTACCTGAACTGTACTGCACACACGGTGCAATTAGTTGAAGTGAAACAAATATATACGGTCGTTTCGCTTCAACTTATTGCACCGTGTGTGCACCAGTTCAGGTAGTGCAGGAATAAAGAGCAGACTTTAGGACTCCGTCTCTGACAAGTGGCGCTACACGGCTGAACCACAGCTGAACTGTCCAGAATTTTTCTAAGTGGGAGGTGTTAGTTTGATTTGGACCTTGGCTGGTTGGTCGTCGCCTCGTCGGGCGTTGGATTGGACTGCCTCGCAGATCAGTCTTCAGTGTTTTGCAGTCAGTTTCGAGTTTCGATTGTTGATATTTGGCAATTCGTTAGCTACGATCTGTCACGACTGTCATCTGGACGTTCGGCGTCACGACGCCCGTTAATGTAAGCTAAATTAGTGTATCTCATTGATACATCTCTGTATCTTTCACAACGCCGTAATTCTCTCAGGGAAAGCCCCACTGCTCCGAATTGATCGCCGTACTCTCGCTGAACTTTCACCGCGGATCTCGTAAGCATTTTTTCGCACGATTCCTCGCTCGCGAAGTTGATTACGTTTGCGTTTTATGCTTTCGTGTATTCTTTTTGCATACATTTTTTACACACCGCATGCGTGTGTGCGAGCCGCTGTTTGTCCTCTTTTCGCATGCATACTCGTGTTTCATAAGGGACACGCGAAATGACATCAATATTATCATATGTGTCGCAATCGAGCCTCGAGTGAGGCAAGTACGCGAAGTAAAAATATTTTAACTCCTCGCACGTTTATATACGGAATAATCCAAAATTAAAATAAAAGACGACAAGAAAAAATGCAGCAAATAAATAAAATTTAATGTAATACAGAGGATATGGTTATAACACGTATGCATTTAAGACAACATGCGTGCGTACTTGATAATTACATATTTTATGTAGAATGACACACATCTGTTCCATTATCATTTGTCATTGTAAGAAATTTTTGTTTGTATCCTTGTAATGAACATCTTAGAATTTTTTATATAATCTATCAGAATTTTTGCATAATTTTATGATTTTTTTAAGAAGAGTTCTCAGATTTTTTTCTGGAATTGTTTGTATCTACACGTGAAATATGAAACATCCTAAAATTTTTTATTCTATAATTTCTGTTTTCAGAAATCTTTATAATTTTGCAACTCTTTATTTCTAGGCCTTTTAGAATACACAATTTATACACGTAAAATCTGAAATATTTTAAGAAATAATACCAACAATTTTTTTTAATATTATGATGTGTGAGCCTTCATATTTTTATTATAATATATGAGAATCTTTTTTTTTTATTAGTGATATGTTGCATGAAGACATATGTTTACTGCGGAAATTAGAAATGAACAAACGATCCATTGATAGTTTTTCTCAAGCAGATATCCTCACAGCAAGTGCTCTCTTATTCTTTGCTCTTATATCTATTGTTTGTGTACTCGCTTTGACAATTTACGTCGCCGCGTCACACGCACATCTGCATTTATGTTATTTTAATGATGATCGATGATTCGTTTATTATGCTGTTTCACCATGAAAGTTACACCATCTCGGAAGCTCGTTTACTATCTCAGCTGACGTGTCAACCAATTACTGCTCACTTTCATACGAAATCTTTGGTCGTGTTTTGCGTGGTTTTAGCAGAGCTTTTCTTTGGCTTTAGTGACTGCATTTACATAGTTTTAATCAAGTTTAATAATATTCGTAATTAGTTATGAAACTAGCCAATCACAATTGATCACCATTATTTCGTTAGGATGCATCCAGAAACACAACCGCTCAGTGAACCTTTGTATCTGATTGGCATATTTTATTGGCTTAAGGCTTAAGCTTAAGTTTTACACCTTAAAATCTCATTGTACACATCACTTAAGGGTACCTATGTAAATTTAGTCATGGTCCGATTTCTTGAGCAGCAGTATTTTGCGATAGAACATTCTTCGTATATCTGTGTGTTCAGACTCGCATCCCCTGTAACTGATTAAAACCAGTCGTCCTTGACATAAGTAAAAATAACGCCAAAGCTTGTCTTACGAGTTTCCTTATCGAGTGCCTTCTATACATTCGATCCACGTCATCACCATCGTTAATCAAAAGTTTTCAACAAATAAAAGATAACGCGTGAACTGTTAAATGACAGAAATATAAATTACGTTTTAAATATAAATGCACTTTTTGTTTACTTCACGTTAGAAAAAAAATCTTTAGCCGGTACTCATAATCGATTCTTATTTTAAGACCATCTTAAAATACGGCTTTCTGATTGGTTTATATTTTAAGACTATATTTACGACAACCTTAAATATAAGAATTTTTTCGACTGTGAATACCGCCCATTGACATTCTTTTATGATTGTTCATTGTTAGTTTATCTTTCTGTTTTAGTTCCAGACAAAATGCAGTATCTGCTACTACTGTTTTTAGTAGTTTTGATACAAACATCGGTCGCACCGCCTGTTGAAAAGAAAAACGAGGATCATAAGGACAAGGAGAATGAGGTCAATGACTCAGACAATGACGATTTGGTAGATATATTTTTAGGACAGTTCTATTGATCTAGTTTATGTTTAAATAAAGTTCTAATAATGTTCATCTTTGTAGGAAAATTCGGAACATCACATGGAATATCACCGATATTTGAAGGAAGTGATTCATGCTTTGGAAAGTGATCCGGAATTCCGTGCAAAATTAGAAAACGTTAAGGAAGAGGATATACATGTACATCTCATATTAAGAATAATTGAGATTAATTAATTTAGATTTTTTTATAATTCTAATCTATTTATATTATATACACTCTTTGAAAAAAAAGTTACGCTCATTGAGATTATTTTTCGATAATAGTAATATGGCTTTACGACGCGATCTTATTAACAGAAATCAAAATAGTCCTATGGCATTTTGCCATATCTATCATCATTTCTGAGATAATAATTTTTATCTATGTTTATTGTTAAAGAATATGATTGTGGCGTTAGTTATTTCTTGTCATATCCAATAGTAATTTCGTTTTTTATTAAAATATCATGATTATTATATTGTGATACGCCAATTTGCGAGTAGAGAGATCAAAATTTATAAATTTAGAATATTAAATACTTTTTGTTCGCATAGACGCGCATTAAATGCAAAATTTGTAATTTTAATTAAATGTCTTTGTACATAGACGGGCAAGATTGCGCATGAACTGCAATTTGTGGACCATAAGATCAGAACAAAGCTGGACGAACTGAAACGAGAAGAATTGGAGAGGTTGCGACATTTAGCCACCAAAGAGTATAATCGTAGAAATGGATTGGATATAGACCATTTAAAGATAGCAGAACACTTGGATCACTCTAACGTACATACGTTTGAAATAGATGATCTGAAGAAATTAATCATCAAGGTAGAACAGCTCGTGATATCTGGATTTGTCGAAAATATCTGATATGAACGGTTTTTGTATGAACTGCCTTGCTTAATAACTTATATATATTATTATTTTTAAATGCTGCAGACTACGAAAGACTTGGCGGATGCCGATAGACGAAGACGGGAGAAATTTAAAGAATACGAGATGCAGAAGAAATTCGAGGAAGAACAAAAGATGAAGGGTAATACCGGTAACAGCGTGCATATATGATATTTGTAAAGGGATTCGATAATTCATTTACCATCTTTTAATCTATTAATGTGTTATTTGTTTGATATAAAAGCTCTGCAATCTTGTACTTATGAAATTGGAGATGGACTACACTAGTAGATTACACGAAGAAACGGCGTTAAGAATTCTTACCATTAAACTAATTAAAATGTTATTGTTTTTATAAAACATAAAAAATATATATTTGCATGCAACATTGATAATATGTAAAGATGTGTCGATGTATCGCATTTCATGGGTAAAACAACGATTCAGACTTTTAAGCTTATTCATTACGTTTATACGTAAACATCACTTTTGAAATTATTAACGTGTTTCGTTTTTGAAAGATATGAAGGAAGAAGAAAGAAAGAAATACGAGGAAGAATTACAAGCGATGAAGAAGAAACATAAGGATCACAAACCTGTAAGTTAAAAAATAGATTTAAAATATCTCTCTTTTTCTTTTTTCTGAAATTTGCATAAGATTATACGTGCAATTAATAATTCATGATTCGCAGTTTGCTATTCGTGTGAAATTTTTGAATAATGTAACTGGATAAATTAATTGAGTTAGCGCTATCTGTTTTTTATTTACCAATTGTATTAATTTATTAGTAAAGTAGTTCTTTGAAGACTAGAAAATCGAATAGATTAATTATCTACTTTAATGGATTCTTATTCTAATAATTAATCGCATTACTTTTCATAATATTATGGAACTTTAATAAATAGAATAATACGTTCCGGTGTATATGAAAGATATAACAGAATACTTAAATAATTGTGGAATGTCTAAAAAATAAGAGTCGCAATAATAGAATATCATAATAATAATAAATAAATTATCAATAATACTAAATTATCAAATTATCACAATAAAGTATAAACAAATCATAAATTATGAATTACGGGACAGTCTATCATTGGTAAACAACGAACTTCTGAGAATCTTATACAAATAGTAAGCTGTGGAATCACAACAACAAATTGTGCATATACTTAATGCTAACTTAATGAGAAATATACACTTGCAGTTGCATCATCCCGGTAGTAAGCAACAACTGGAAGAAGTATGGGAAAAGCAAGATCATATGGAGGATCAAGACTTTGATCCTAAGACATTCTTTCACCTTCATGGTAAGAAAAATGATCATTTTTACTACATACTTAATTATTATCTTAAAATGGTTATCCTATACACATACGTGACAAATCGATTTAGATTTGGATGGAAATGGTTACTGGGATCATGACGAGGTGAAGGCATTATTCTTGAAAGAATTGGATAAACTTTACTCAGAAGGCGCACCTGAAGATGACATCTACGAGAGGCGGGAGGAAATGGAGAGGATGAGAGAACATGTGTTTACTGAAGCTGATTTTGACCGTGACGGTTTCATAAGGTATAAATATACTTTAAAATTATTAAAATTTACATTAAAAATTTTTTATTTTAATTGACTACCAGAATTACATGAAATAAGGAATTGTACTTACTCTATTTTGTATTTTTCTTCGTTACAGTTACCAAGAATTTTTAGTACAAACGATGAAACCAGATTTTCAACAGGACGAAGGATGGCAGGGATTGGATGAGCAACAAATTTATTCTCAGCAAGAGTATGAAGCTTTCCAGAAGCACAGACAGGAAGAAATCCAGAAAATGGTTGCCAAAGGAATAGTAAGCGATTAATTTAATCAAATTTAATCTTCACAATGCATTTAAAAATTTGAATAGAAAAATAGTATTTTTATTTAAATCCAGTTGTTTATCTCTATAATTGCTATAGGATTGAATCCCCACATATTTTTAAAATTATATTTTTGTATATTAGACTGAATGCCATACACACACATATATATTATATATATATATATATAATATGTATGTATGTATGTATGTATATGTCACAATAAAAGTGTTAATTTAGTAAATGTATACACTTACTAGTCAATGTAAGCATTTATGTAAGATTTTAGCAAAAGTATCATCTGAATGTGTTAAAATGTCTGCTATTCTCCTAGTGAATGTATTCATTTACTAGGCAATGTATATACGTTTGCTATAATGTATTAATAAAAGCATATTTTGAGTTGTCAGTCACAGCACAAGTACATTTTCACACTTTGACTGTGACATATATAAATAATTTTATTTTTAGCTTTCGTATACATGTCTTTAATAGCATGTTCGAGATAAAATTAGAAAATGCTCCACTTTATTGCTTCAACCAAAACCATTTTTTGTAGGCGTAATTACATATATATGCGTGACTGTAATTATTAGCACGATAAGCGTGTCTTATATGAATTGCCGCTCGATGAATCTGCAGACGTTATCACTATCGCTTTGACTAATAGACGTGCTATCCGTAGTAATTAGAGTAATTAACTTAGCTTGTGCACTTTCTGTTGTTGTCGTTAGTTACCACCACCCCCTGACACTGTACATCTACCCCTCCAGCATGAACAGGTGAGTAATTGCTAAACTGTGAAACATTTTAGCAATTTTAAATTATTTTAATTTTAAATTATTTTTTTAGTTATATATATATATATATATATATAACCCGCAATTAACTTCCTCTTAACGCATTCTTTTTTATTATTCTGCAGTTCCCGTCACAGCACCAGCAACAGAACAACTTCCAGCATCCACAACAAATGCATCCTTCGCAACAACAGAATTCAGGACAGATACCACCGCAACAACCAATAGTTGGTCATGTACCACAATATCAGGGCCAATTGCCGCAGCAACAATCCTATCATCCTCAAGTCCCACCACCTCAACATTATCAAATTCCGCAACAGCAACAGTATCAGGGACAACAGCCACAGTATCAAATGCCAGTACCGCAACAGCCGCAGTTCCAGGCTCAACAGATTCAGCAAACGCATCAGCAATACCAAAACCAACTTCATCAGGGTCAACAACAGTTCCAGGGTCAGCCTCAACAGGTTCAACAACAGACTCAGGGTCAGCCTCAACAGGTTCAACAACAGACTCAGGGTCAGCCTCAGCAGGTTCAACAGCAATCACAGCCGCAACAAACACAGCATCAAGTGCCACAAAATACTCAGGGTAACATTCCGAGTAGTCAAGATGCTGCACAAACCAACCACAATCTTCCACAACAACAAGATTTGAAATCCATTAAGCAACAAATCAATCAGAACAATATACCGAACATGTAGACAGTGTAGATACAAATAGTTGATAAAAATGTTTTTATCTTATTTCTTTTTAAATCGTAGACCAGGCAGTTCTACGGTTCTCGATTTAAAAAGATTACTTGAGACTCTCGAAAAAATTCTAACTCCAGAGAAGTGTAACTAATATATTATGTAAACATTTGCAGGGTTGGAAAAGTTACTTTACTTTATAAAAGTAATAACTCGTTACCATTACCGTGTTATTCAAAAAGTAACTAGCTGTTTTACAATTTTTGTTACTTTTTCGAATTTTGATAACCTCTTTTTGAAGTGGCATTCAATTGTTTTACTTACTAATTGGTCAATTCAACAGGAGGTTTATAGTTGTTATAATGATTGTGTTAATCGCAATAAGGTCAAACACAACACTTTTTTCTTTTGAAATTTGTTTATGCACGTTCCATACATACGTATTATACGTATTCAAAATAACAATAAAGATAACGATTATATTCATCACTGTTATTTAAAAAAAAGTAATGTGTTACTTTCTAACTCTGGCCATATGTTCACATAAGAAGTATTTTATGTAATTTTTGTATCATTTTAAAACTTCTATTCAGCTGTATTCAATTATTACATTTGAAGTAAGAAATTATATAAATTTTTGTTCTATTGAATAATCAGTTAATTAAGATTTATAGTTTTTTTTTAATCTACGAATTTTGAAAAAAAAACGTATTCCAACCAACAAAACAACTAGACCGCTCACCGAGCAAATGCTGCATAGTTCACTCATTGTGTTCATGAATTTTTGTATTAGATTTTTTGAAACTGTTTAACCAAAGGTTTTCCGGGATTACAAATCAAAATTAAAAATTTTTTTTATTTCAAAATGGCTAATTTATGTCCAATGTGGCGGATCAATGGTTCGAATGATCTTTACTAAAATATTTAGTATTTTATTGTTTATAAAAATTAATTAATCAGTAAGAAATAGGTTACAATAATGATGAAAAATACGATTCTAATATATTTCTGATATGATAACGCTTCTAGGCTCATGCGCGCAAGCGGTTGGGCTGTTGACTCGAGCGGCTGAGTCAGTCGTGGAGTCAGTTTTTTATGATGACTACAAATATGGTACATATTCAAGTACACATGTACAGTATATACAAATTCAAATTATTTTAAAGATTATTAATTTTTAATAGAAAAAAATGTAACGAAAAAATCTGAAAAAATTCTAAAAAATACTTTAGAATGTCGAAATGAGTACCTAAATTGTCGTTTTAATATTGATAATAGTTTAGTAGAAAATACGTTTTTTTTTTTCTAAAGCACAATTTTTTTTTAACATGTGTATTAACACTCATTTGTGAAGTAATCTATAATAAATTAAATTGCTAACTAGCAAGTAAAAATAAAATGTCATGCAATTAGGCTAATCACTGTAACAAATTGTTTAAACAGTTTTACCATTCAATACATTTGCTTTGTGAGCAGACTAACAAATCACGTTATGCTTTGTCAGCATAAACGTATTCTTTGTTTTGGTTTATTAATGTTGGATATGAATGATGTGATGCGAATAAATTTCTGTGAATACGTGAATAATTTATTTTGACTAATAAATGTATTTATATTCCAGGAAAAAAGTCACATAATTTTTGTTTATTTTATAATTCAATGTAGTTATGATTAAGAATTAGGTCTTAATTATTGTGCAATATATTGTTTGCCAAATCTTTTTTAAGTCACAAAATTCATTTAAACGTATTTCTAAAATCCGGTTACCATTTATATTTATCATAGTTTTCAGGAACTTAATTTCTTGATTTGATACTCTAATAATTATTTATATTGTATAAAGTATCTCATTGCTAAATAAATGATTTTCGAAAATGTATTACTTGTTAAAACTTTATGTATGTTATCTTGTAATTCTGTACACAATACATACAGTATACAGGAAGTATGATTTGTATCTGACATACTATATATATAAGACTTCAACAAGAATAACATTCCTCAATCTATGTCTTACCGAAATGAGTATGTTGTCCCATTGCGAATTAGGCTGGAATAGCTTTATTAAAATTCAAGACTTGAAGAAAAGGGTAGAAAGGAAAGAGACTCAAGGCAAATTCGAAAGGAAGCACATATTTTGTTTCTCATATTTATTTGTTATTGCATACTGTTTATGTTAGTATATTACTTAGGTATACGTGCCAAGTAGCAACTTAAATGTATGATTGCGTGATTCATCTGTTTGTTCCACCCGTCAAGCGCGCGGATAGGTAGGTAGGTAGGTAGGTAGGTAGGTAGATAGGTAGGTAGATAGGTAGGTAGATAGGTCGGTAGATAGGTTGGTTGGTTAGGTGGTTGGTTGGGTGGTTGGATGGTTGGTAGGTTGGTTGGTAGGTAGGTAGGTAGGTAGATAGGTAGGTAGGTAATGTAAGTTGCTTACTTCACTATATATAGGGTGTATTTATAAGTATAGCATACCTCGGTAGAACGTCATCTTACGAGCTAATCGGTAATAAATAAAAATTAGGCTCGGGGACCGGCCTTGGGGAAGGATCTAGGGCGGGTGGAGGAGGGCCAAGGGGAGGGGGAGAACGCGTTTAATAATGGGCGAACGATTTTGCGTTTCTGCGTCCGTGACTGAAACAAATCGTGCCGCGACGCAGTACGTTCTCACACGCTTTTTTTTCGAAGTAAATCGGGAACGAACGTCGTTTCACGAGTCACGGCTACATCTTCGCGCGCGTTAAATCACGCCTTGCTTTATCTCGATATAATCTATCGGTACGGGCGACTTATCCAAAAACTGAATTGGGCTACCTACTGAAAAGAAATACTTGCGCGTGTGTTCGCTTTTTCTTTTTTTTTCCTTACAGGCAAAAAATAAAATACGATAGTAACTCTACAAAATATTGCCGTTCGCCTTTGTCATCGCACACAATCGGTGCGACGAGCGCGCTTATAATCGATATAAAATAACGATTCCGCCGGTCACTGTCTCGATCGGACCATCGAAGACTATGCTTTCGGTATTCCACGTACGACGGACACGTGAAAGAATAAATTCCTAAATTATTAACATATAATTGTCTCCTATAGATATACGTTTCTTCCGACAAGCTTTTAAATTATATTCGTACATATGATGGTCTCTACTAGAAATTTGTCGTTTTAAATAAATTTCTTAACTATGATTATAAATACAGTGCTTATTAGATTTGTCGTTCTCCTCTTTAAAATTATAATCGTAAATACTTGCTTAAATATCTTAAACTCTTAAATAGCTCTAACAAGGCTTCTCGTATCCGTCGTACAAATAAGAAAAAAGATATAGTCCTCCATTATGTATATGAATTAAGAAAAGAATCGTCGGAACGTGCGATCGTAGTTACACGGCTGCGCAGGAAAACGTACGGTCTTGCCCAAGAAATTATTCCGAAGATGTTTCTAGTTAGCGGCAAGAGAGAGAAATAATTCGTAAAGCGTACTAAATTATCGTTCGGTTAATCTCAAATTAATTTCGCACGCGGATGCGTCTCGCACGTTTTACTTCCGCGCGGTCGAATCGAGACAATGCCGAGGAGGCTCGCGCGGGCTCGCCGACAATTCGGCGGCGGATTACAAGAATTACGCTTTCGAGAAGGAAGCGATTCTCACCTTCAGCTTTCCCATCGAAAGACGCCTGTCCGATCCGCGGTTCGCTCCGCACCTCCGATATGCGGAAGAGGATCGAAATAAAATCCGGATCTCTTAGGCTACATAAATGGGAGCCTCAACGAGAACTCTCCTCAAGAAATAAATTATGTTACACGTTACAATGATAACGATGAATCTTTGCCGTACATGCTGCTCCTCCTCTATTTACAGTAAGGACAAACGATCTCGTATGTCTCTTCGTTTTCTCGGCTTCTTGGAGGTGTTCCTCTGTATGTATATTTCGTGTATGTATGTGTGTGTATGTCCGTAGTGTAATCGCATTTCCGCGTGTACAATGTGTATACATACGTGTTACTCGGGCTCGTGTGCGATTAAATAACCGGGCTCTGAAAGGTGTGCGATTCTATTGCTCGACTAATAGTTCTCGCGAAAATGAAAAAGATTGCCACATCTAAGTTGTCCCTTAAATGTTAACTATAGTAGAGAAACGGAAACGCGGCGGGTATCGTTCTCGCGCGGCCGCGACGACGCGGAGGAAGGGGGAGCTCGCGGCTCGGCGCGATCGCCGCATCTCCCTGAATCCCTGAATCTCCCTTCAGCGGGAACGGGACCGCGTCACAGCCCCTGAACACCCCCTTCCGGTCTCAAGGAAAACGCCGTCGTCGGCCTCGCGTCCTGTAAACTAGTCGTAAATCGTGTGTACGGAAACTACTTATGTTCTGTTTATAGTTGGCTGTCGCTGTTCGCTGTGCAACTCGCTTTTTCTCGCAGATTTTTTTTTTTTTTTTCCTTTCACCACTCAACACCGCGGCAATAACAACGATCAAAGGAAAGATTTCACACGTGCGTGGAACGAAAGCCCTCGTCGATCGGTTTCTGCATGCGTGTAATCTGAAACTCTTGGATTGCGTGTCACATATATCGATGATCGCGCCACTCTCTCGTGAAATATATTGGTAATTTTAAAGAAAAAATTCTAGATCTCTATAGAGGTTTCATTCTAATTGTCTTCTTCTAATTCTAAGAATTAGAAAAAAAAATAAAGAGTATATATATAAACCGAGATTAATCCACACATTCTAATCTCGAGAGATAGAAAACAGTTCATTTCCTTCGGTCGCTTTCGTTTTCTTCTCCTATGTCCACTCTGTAATGTAGATTCACATCATTCTCAATTTAATTTACTTTCCATTTTTTTTTCTAGTTCTTGGAGTCAGAAAAAGATAAAAAATAAATTAATTAAACCGAGATTAAAGTCAATCTATTTATGCTGATAGAAATGGACGTAAAAGAAGAAAGGGAAAAACGACGAAATTGTCAGTCGAGACGTCTATCGATAAACGAGACACGCATCCGTGAGCTGAAAACGAATTAGCTTTCTCACTAAGGTAGCGCCAGAGTCACGCATGTCCGTTTTGTATGTCGACCCGATGAAAAAAAAAGACCTCCTACAAGCTACTTCATCTCTTCTCGATTCTAAAGTCTCCAAGCCTTTTAGCGCAAAATTCTGCCCGTGAACTTTTGTTTCGTCCTCGACGACGTTCGGAAAAAAAGAACCGCGGCTTCTTCTATCTTTATCTCTCTCTCTCGCTCGCGCGCTCTCTCGCTCTTTCTCTCTTTTTTACGTATATGTATATATTTATATATATATAATATACTTTTTTCTCATATATATATTCACTTTGTGTTCTATATCAATAATAGCGTATTAGATACTTTTTGTTCACTTATGTCTTAGGTATGTAATATAGGTATATTCTTTTTTTTTTCACCATCTGTTCACAGATACATATATGTATATATCAAAATGTGGAAACGAAAGGGTCCTCTCGAAATAGCCGTTCTCCGTTCGGTCGGTCAGCTGTTCCGCTTTCATTTTTTTTCCCTATACTCTTTCCCTCCTACCTAAAATGCGTCGACTTTATTTGCTTTGCCGGGAAACTTAAAAGGAAAACATTTCGAGAATATGCCATTCAGGGTATTACCTGTGTGGATTGATCCAAAACACAAATTTTGTCGGGTAGTTTGTTGCTTCGGACATTCACTCTGACACGCACACAGAGTTCGTAGGTACGTTGCGTATTCGACATAGGAGGGTTCGCCGGTTGACCGAGCATCTGTGTCTTTCTTTTGGAAATAATTAGACTGAAGATCTCGAAACGCGAGAGATTTTTCCTCTTCGCAAATAGTTTATAGGAATCCAACGATCGTTACATTAAAAAATGCCGAATTCAAGTCAATTTAGATTTACGAATTGAATTCAATTTGAGAATATGTGAAAAAAAATGTATGACACATTCCGCACATTACATCGCTGATTGTAATTATAAATTAAATATTCTCTCGAGTTTTGAAGCGAGTAAAAGCAGAATAGAATATGCGAATTACAGGAATATAAAAAGTATTCCTGTAAATAGGAAAAATTCTCAGGTGACAAGCTGATGGAAAATGACATCAGAATTAAGGACGTACCGCATATTTATGTACCGAAATTTTATATTAAAAGTTCGCGTCATTGATATAGAATCTTATTCTTTTCACCTAAACTGTTTGCAGAGTTCATCTTTCTTCTTTTTCTTTTCACGTCGAGGAGATAAAGAAAATTATTATCGCTATTTTTCCTTTGTTTTCCATTTTTAACTATAAAATGGAGAAATTATAACGAGTAAAAAAAAATCTGGAAAATATTGTATTTGGTATCCGGCCGGATAATTCTATTGAATAACCGGTAATTTTAAGGTTCGGGTACATCCCTAATCAAAATGACAACGTCAGCTTGAGGTCTCCTTTACGAAATCGTCAATTTTTTAGTCACATTGGTCGCTTTAATTATAAATAAAATTTATTTATATCGCCGAGTATCACGAAATACCAACTCGAAGAAAGCGAAGCGCGTCAAAGTTACGCAACGTATCTACAAACATGATCACACGAGTAATGCATTCAGCAGAATTTCGAATGACTTTTCTCGTCGCTTAGTCAAGTGGTCACGGTCTACGGGACACTTAAATTTTTTTTTTTTTTTGGAAGGCACTTACTACTTTTTTTCTTTTTATACAGTATTTAATTTTAAACTCTTCCGCATTCGCTCTCTCTCTTCCCCACGCTCTCGCGACCTCATGTGTATTCTTCCTTTCTCTCGTTTTTCTTTCTCTCCTTCCTCTTGCACCTAAAAATTTTGTTCGCGATTCGGCTTGCGCTTCTTCACTAAATTTCGACTGCCCGCGCAACCCTTCCCTTTTTTTCCCTCTCTTTCACTCTTTGTTTTTAAATCCATCGCACGTCTCGCGCGAATTTACGTTTGAACACATTAATGCCTAAATGGTAAATAGAATTCGCGCTTTCCGAATTTCACACCGAAATGAAAAACGTGGTCGATTGAAGTCTCGCAACGCGTATACTAATAATAAATTGCCGCGCCGTCTGCGTGTCGCCTCGCGACACCGTCGCGTTTTCGCACAAAAGTCGTTTGTATCAAGAATAACGTGTTACTTTTTTTTTTCCCTTTATTTTTGACTTGCCTGATGTTTCGTCGCTCCCTCATGTATACGTGCTACGATCGCGCGATCCTGTCTCCTTTCTCTCTTTCCCTTATCTCCCTTCACTGGTAATATTCTGGCTGCATGAGCGTGGTGCGAGAATCAATTTTTTTCTTTCTGCGATTTTTTTTACCCTCTCTTCCGTAAAGTTTCCCAGACAAACGGATAACACGGATGGCTCGTTTCGCCAAAAGCCTCGTACGAGCAAAAGCGAAAAGCGATGATCTTTCCCTTTCACCGAAGGCCACTTCGAATTTTTTTTGTTTACTTTTTACACTTACAAGGAGTCTCTTTCTCTCTCTTTCTTTCTCTCTCTCTCTCTCTCTCTCTCATTCTCACTCTCACTGGCATTCTCTCGCACTCTTCCTCTTTCTCTCTTCCGAACCAGCGTGCCGATGTTAGAATTTCTCAAAAAATTCCGATTAAGAGATATATTTAGAATTAAATCATCCGAAAAATTACGGTTCACATTTATAGCTGATGGGAGATATAAATGATCAATGAGAACCTTCATATTAACATCATCAAAAGGTGATACCTCGTGATAATCAAATCCAAATTGGATGTGGATCGAATTTAGTACAGACGATCAATTACAAAGTCCAATAAATTTTAATCGTACAATTTTAGTTCATTTGCTTGACATTATAGTAAAAATTGCCTGCTTATTAGTGACAGTGGTCAAATGAAGGATCTTTGTATTAGCACCATCGAAATGCGATACTTCGCGGTAATCGAGTCTAAAACTCCGCGGATACTGAATTTAGCAAAGACGATTATAATTACAATCTCCAATAAATTCTACTGGTGCATAATTCCGCGTTCCCCGATTTTGCGCGATAGATATTAAAATACCTACATCATTTTAACTAGTCGGCACAGCTCGTTCATCGATTGTCGAGGACTTGGAGATCCCTTTGCGAAATCACGCGCGACGTGTGTAAAATTTTGAAAAATAGCACGATCTTTCGAAAAAAGAACACGTATACGAGCTTTTCTTTCAAATCCATTCGCGTCCATACACTCAATCCGTTCACCCTCGCGTTCACACACTCACGCAGATCCGTATATTCAGACTTGACAATCTCGCATTGATGCACAGACACTCGTGGTCGCCGAACTCACCGAAATTTCGACACGGTCTGTCGTGTCGAGAGCCACAGTTTCTCGTCTCTAATCCCTAAACCTTATAATTTTTATACTTGGCATACCCCAAATATGGCAGGAAGGCAATCATTATACTTAATAACTTTATAGCGATCATCTCGACCTAGAGTGTGCTCGCTTTATAAGCCATTGAATTTGTTTTCTCCGTCTCTAAATACTTTGTCGTACCTCTTTCGCTTTTTCTCTTTCTTTCTCCTTCTCTCTTTAATTTCTTCCTTTTTTTGCTCGTTTGCTTGCTTGGTAGACAATCATAGTGAATTTTGTACATCTCCCTTACTTATCGAGCTTATATCGGTGACGTCGCTTACTGCCTGGCGTCAAAAGGATAGTATTCTTGCACAAAGCGTCGCGGATGAAATTGAGATTTTCTGTTACAAAGAGATTCATAGATAAAGGGCAAGACTCATCTTTTGAAGATGTTTGATACGTTAAAAAAATGTTTCTATCGATAGATTTACATAAGTAATTGAAGACCAGATCTGTTTTTTTCCCCCTAAAAGCAAGATTTACGTTCTTAGAATAATTTATACAGAAATAGAAAATGAGAGTTCGCGATGACTGTAATTTATTTTACTTTCGCGATCTCTATAATTTATTTTACTTTCACGTTATATCACTAATAAGAAAAACCTTACTTTTATAGTCTTAAAATAATTTCAAGCAACTTTTTCTCTCTCTCTCTCTCTTTCTCTCTCTCTCTTGCAATACCTAAAAATTAGCAGTTTATCACAAACTGATCCATGACACGTTGTGTAAGGACTCGATAATACAACGTGCAACTTTTGTTCGAGGCGGCTTATTTTTCTCGTCTCGATACCCGTCTCGAATAATCAATCATTCGGCAGTAGGCGACCCCTTACGAGTTATTATACATTTGGCATTAAAAGTACAGTTATCGTATAATGCGTAGGTATAAATTTCGAGTGTGTATCTTGTTATGTACGGCGCGCGCTCGTGTGTCCATGTGTGTGAGTGTATGTATATTCATACGTGTGCGCGTGTGTGTGACGTGTGGGTTTTTTTTTTACCTTTATTACATGTACATAGTCTGTACGACACGACGATGACACGACTATCTAGATTGGAAAAAGGTGGCGGCGCGCTCGCGAGGCGCCGGCGACCTAATAGCTATAGTATGTTTGCTAGAAGAAGGTTTTTACTCTCTTTCGCTTTCTCCTTTCCTCCGTTTCTGCTTTTCCGCTGTCGAAGGTTCCGACCGAGCGATTCTCGTCTAGGACGGTCCACTACCGTTCGATCGTTCTTCCCTGAAGCTGATCCCAGGCGAGAAATTCTCGACACTCTCGCCTATCTCGTCCGCACTCGTGTGTCTCCGTCAGTTTATTATTTTTTTTTTTCTTTTGATTGTAAGCCTCTCTTTTTCTCTAATATCCCTCTAAGATTTTCGTATGCACAATACATCGCGCTCGCGTATAACGTTCGGAGTCGCGTTTATATATATTATAAACTCCCGCGAGAGGAGGTAAAGTGAATCGAACAGTACTCGATTTTTCGCGAGAAGTCTACCCGGCTCGCATCACCGGTCCTCGGCCGCTGACGGCCTCGAAGAGAGAGAGATCCCCCTCGGGATCATCGACGCACCTCGTCCTTCCACGGCCGACGATCCCACAGTGGCTGATGTAGTCGTCTCTCCTCCTCGTTCCGCAGCCACCATGATGACTTACTATTCGCAGCGCGAGTCCGTGAGCGGTTCAAGCTTCACCGGGATCTTGTCCTTGTCCTTGAGACCGTGGGGGCTCTTCACCAGATCGGCGATGTCCTCCTGGAAGAGAGTCTCCGGGCGTGGACTGACGAAGCTTCGTGCCGGCTTGTACGTCATGCCGCTCACGCCGATGCCGACCTCCACGCTACTGGGTATGTGGCCCGATGGATCCATCAGCGGACCCAATGGGCTCGCCAGGGGACTCTCCAACGGACTCTCGGGCGGTCCACCCGAGCCCGGGCTCGCTAGACCGAGATTCAATGGCGAATTGCCGTTGTTGCCGGCGCTATTGCTGCTGCCGAGGCCGCTCGCGTTACTGCTCGTGTTGTTGTTGTTGTGGTGTTGGCTTGCCTGCATCGCCGCTTGCAGATTTGACGACAGACTGGTAGACAGACTCGTCGACAGGTTCGTCGCCATCATATCGTGTTGCTGCGAATGCGCCGCTGCCACCATGCTGCACATCTGGTGTCGTAAACCTGATGGATATCGAAATTAATGTAGAGAAATTGAAATCTTGACAGCATAAGTAATATTGTCTTATCAACAATTTTTGAGAAAGAAAAATTAGCATTTTTCAGAATTTCATTATATCATGGCTGAATTAGCAGAACGGACAAAGTTAAAGGCAAAATTGCATTTTCCCAAAAAAATTTCGAAAATCACAAAGTTTAATTAAAATAGTCCAACAAATTTTTTAAGTTTTTCGTAAAAACGAAATTTTCTTTAATCTTATCTTTGTATCTGACTGCAATATCTATATATATTCTTAGATCAAAGTCAAGAGCTAAAATGTGCAGTGTAAGCGTCTGTGAGGCTTAAGCCGAGTACTTCGAACATTTCCTTTAATTATACTTTAATATGTATTCACCCTCTGAAATATCGACATGTATTTACAATATAAATCACTCTGTACATACTTTATAGTAATACGTATTATTATTATTACTGTTATACAATATTATTACACGCGTAACGTTACTTCTATGTTATCAATAATAAATTTACGTTTATGGAATGCTTTTCAATGAAACGGTCAAGCATTTCAATTCGCCCCGGTAATTAAAGAGTCAATCACTGGTCTCGGAAAAAGTTAAGGTGAAAAGAAGGAAAAAGTGAGAAATTTATCTGGTGTTTCCATGTTACCTTGAGCGACCGCCGCGACCGCAGCCGCAGCTGCCGCACCCGGACTGACTGCGCCTTCCGGACCATTGCAAGCCGCGTAGTTCGCCAGGGTGGGGTACATCGTGGTCGGCTCCTCCTTGACGATGTGGGGCGAGTGCCCGTCGCGGAATACCACCGCGCGAATCACCCCGCGGATATGCTCGTCTGGCCAGACGCCCAGCAGAATCCTCTGCGGTCGTCCTCGTCCCTTCGGGCGCAAATCTACAGAAGAGAAGAAAGAGAGGTAAAGGAAAAGAGGGCAATGAAGAGGAAGAATTCATTTCACTGCAAATCGGTTCTGTGATTGTGCATGTGGTTGTGATGGTTGCCACCACCGCTACTCGTTTTTACTTCTTCGAGAACCGCGAGAATAATCGTGTCTCGTAATCTCTCTCTCTCGGCATGGAATTAAAATTGAATAGATTTGAGAAAGAAGAACGAGGACGAGATTTTTATGTGACACGCAAAGAATCATTGAACTTTATTAATGAGAGAAAGAAAATCTTCGTGATAAAGATGTTGCGCTAAATAAAGAGTTCACAGAACGACAAACTGTTAAAAATATCTTTTTAAATTTTTCGTTTGTTTATTAGAGGAAAAGCCGATAATGTAGAACCTGCTCTGTCTTACTATGGGCTTCACTTAAAATTCTGTTATAATTAACACTATCTCTCGCAAACACTTTTTAATTTGTTCTTAGATAGATATCGGAATTATGAAATAATTGCTACCACGATTAGCGCAACCTTTTTATTGGCAATGGATGTTTACAAGATACATCGAAGTTTTTTTGTATGATATTCAGTATCACGTTTAACATCGCTCAAAGTTCGCAAGTAACACATTTATTCCATAAATTTATTCTTTTTAATACTGTTTTTCTATTTTAAAAAGATAAGCATAAGTTTAAATAATTGTATTTTTGGAGATAATTAAATTTTGTTAATGTTCCTATATTAAGTTGACCTCGAGAGAACAAGTAGACCTCAAGATTTTTAACGAAAAGCGTGCAAGACATTGTTTTAGTAAAAATCTTTGTGGGTATCATTTTAAAATAATTTTAAGAAGTCCTTATAGACATCTGTGAAACAAGAAAAAAGTGCTTATAATAATTCAGAACAGGATCAACAACGCAAGAGTATTGCTCAAAGAACGTATTTATGAAAAGAAACTTTTGAATATAATATCTCAATATTCAAACTTTTCTATTCAAGTTATGTGGACTTCATTCCCACATAAAGTCCAAATAAACTAAAGAGTTTAAATCATAATGTTTCTTTTCAGTAATTTTTCATATTTTTTGGGCTGTCTTAATCATTTCAAGTGTATTTTATACGTACTAAACTTAGATTTAAAAAATTATCGTTTGCAATAATTGATATTATTGATAAAACATAACTAAATAACTATATAATTAAACAAATAAAAACTACACACAACAAAAGAGGGATATGTATTATCATCTTTTCCTCTAATTAATTAATGAAGGATATTTTTTTCAAAACTCGACTACTGAATCGTGAAAAAAAAAAAGATTCAGGCGGTGTCTTAAGACAAACTTCACATCCGAATTTCTCTCATTTGAATAACAATTACAAATATGAGGTTGAGAATATCAAGTCAACTTTCATCTATTGAACTATTCCAACTCAAAACTAGTCGAGTTTCTCAGCAGAAACGTGACTATAAATACAAGCCTTAATAATACGTTTGATCAGTGTTTACTGGACGTTACATGCTAATGACGCGTAACTAAAGGTTACTATTAGATATTAAGTCCGGTCATAATTGTACGATGTAATTGCTGTTTTTACGAACGTAATTGACTTTTCAGGCTTATTCTTCTTCCGATCCAATACCGTTCATCAACTATTTACAATTAGCTACACCGTCGCGGTTCATTAAACGAGTTCTTTGCGTGATGGACCAAGGTTTTAAGAACGTTTTAAGAGCCACACGATGTTGAACGCGTGGAATTTCAAGCTTGTTCCAGGTTCACAAAGTAAATCGTGAAGGGATAAAATACAATATATTTTTTTTTATGTTGAAGCATAAACGTAAATTTTCTGTTGCGATTTTTCTTTCTAAACCATAAATTCTACATAAATTTTTCAGCTGTTCTCTTTACAATGTTCGCCACTCGTGTTCCGACAACCGGCGTTATAACAATCTGGGCTGATTCTATTTGATCGGCACTATCTCGCCCTCGTCAATGAGAAATGTATTATTAATGAATTATAAATTCTACGTATAAAAAGAATGCGTTCTTCGAACCAAAAGTTCTTACAAGAGATTTTTTTAAATAAGCATTATTTGTAGCAAATAAACATTAATTAACAGTGAGTACGTTCTATTCCAATGTAAACAAAAGAGCTTTGTGAAAATAATTTATAAAAATAATATATTTTTTATCATTTTTTGAATATATACATATCTTTTTACATAATTTTGAGAAATTTTATTGTATTCTCTTTGTTAATAATAATTACTATTATAATTAATATTTAATTCCTAAAAATAAGGTTTTTTCTAAGGATACATCTCTCTGTTGTATGAATACTTTGTGCACTCATTATAAATTCTTTGTCATCTTTTTTGACATGCCATTCGTATCGCGGTTCTCGTTTTTTCCGTTGTTATAATAATCCGCTGCGTCTCGATCCGGTTGTTGGCATTGTCTTTGCTCTCATCCTTGAGAGACGCAACGGGTGCATTCAGCGGACTCAACAATTGAGTGCTCGCTGCAGTTATTGGTGTATTCTTCTAGATCATCCAATCAGACATTTAGATCTAGAAAAATACATTAATAGCAGCGGACGCTCACTGTTGAGTCCGCTGAACGCGTCCATTGGCTGCATTCAGCAAAGAAAACTGATCAATGGAGCTCTCAGTGATTCTTTAATGTAGTTGCGGTTTTAAGTTCTTCGCTAGATCTGAGTGTAGGACCTAATCATATTAAAGAATCACTGAGCACTCATTGATTAGTTTTCTCTGCTGAACGCAACCGTTGTTGATCGAGGAGCGAGGGGCATTTTCGAAGGAATAATCGCTTACAATTAATGTAATCGTGGGACAGTTCCACGAAGTCATTATAAAATTCATATGAAAAATTCCAGTGTATAATCCAATAATTACGTATGCAACTACGAGAAATAATTGTGTAATATTAGATAAAATCGTTTACTTTACCGAATGACTTTATATATATATAAGAAAATGACTTGTCATCAGATGAAGTCGTATGAAATTAAATGAAATCATGTAATCTGCGGGACAATATTTCAACTAGTGGTTACCCCCCTCAGGGATTTTCAGAGGATACTGAAAATGGCAAGTAATACTTACCAGCCCCGCCGTCGGCGCTAGGACCCAGCATGTTGTGCACTCGATTCGCGTACAGGACAAACGTCGGGTAGGGGATATCGTATTTCCTGAAAGGTAGAGAAGCGGGATACAATTATAATTTGTAGCTTATAATTATAATCAACATAATTTATAGCTTTGCTCAGCTCCACCACGTATCTTACATCGCATTACGTTACGTACTCTTAATTAACTTTAGCTATTCTATCCCGCTCGTTCGTATATTTTAATACTATTTTATGTGTTTATCCCATTTCATTACGTAATTTCATTTTAATTTATATTAATTTTATTATACCGACGAAGAATGAAAGATTCAGCGGAACATATTTGAATGCATGACGATGGAAATTATGCAATCTCTCGAAATTATGCAATCGCGTGGGGAATAGGTACTGGCGATGACATTGTACGTTTAACGAAGTAACGTAGAACTCTTCGCGAGGAACAACGAGAGAATCGCTCGTCTCGTATTTTATCTGCGCGATTATTGTCATACTTCGTCGTCTCGTTTGCTCATATATAATATATCATATATATCAATTGAAGTATAGATATATCAATGTTTATAGAATATATCATGACATTAAAATATATCAATAAAATTTCATTAAAATAAGAAGCACTTTTGTAGATCAAATAGACATTTATGAAATGGCAGTAGAGCCGTGTTGCGCTGCAGCGGGAAGCATTTGGAAAAGCATTATCGATCGTCGAATCGATTATCGTAAAAATTATCGCTCGCAGCTCGTAAAGTCGTGCTTTATTGAGTCGCTTTGTACGCGAATTAAAAGAAATCCCTTTAACGGCGAGTCGACGTTGTTACGCAAACGTGATACAGGCTTTACGACGTCCGCCGCGCAAATGATTTTAAAGCAAGCCGCTTTGAGCGGAGTAGATCGGATGATTATTTAGCATGATTCAAATACGGCGGCGATAAGGTACGCTTGATGCAGGATAATTTCCAGGAATTTTTCATTGCGTAATAACCCGGTTCTATTGTACGCGCCGCATCATAAGACATTTATATAACAATTTTAACTATTTACCCGATACATTGCGTGAGTTGGCGCGCACAGAGGAAACAACGGCGTGGCATAAGCTCGCATAAAATATTTATCTTTCGCGTATCAATTATTAACGTTAGAAGAACGCGGCGCGCGCGGGACGAACTCTTGGGATAAGCAATTAAAATAATTCTTTAATTTTTATATTAACGCATTTCATTACTCGGGTGTTAATATTAAATGATACGCACCAAAGTTTTATGCAACTGCGCGTGGAATATATTATTAATTTTATTATTGGTTCCATCGTGCGGATACACACGAACGGTGTACGCGTCGTATACGGAAAATGATATATATTGCGAGTAAATTAATTATTTTTGCAATATACATCGGAGACATCTCGATTTATTTTTTAAGTTAACGCGTTTTATATCAGCCGGTATTAATATATTACACGTAATGCAGTAAAAAAGTGCAATTAAATTAGATAAATAATTTTTACAAAACAACGTTGGACGTTGGAATATTTTTAAGATTAATATGTTGTATCGATTAATATTACATGCGTCCGATAGCCCGTACTGCGGTGTATTTAATTTTACTGGGATATTTTTTAACGCGATTCTTTCTTTCAAATAAATGTCTTATCATGTTCTAGAGATTAATGAGATATATGTATAACGATTCAATGCAGTGTTGTCCAAGATTTATAATTCTGAACATTGACTTAAGGTGTAGCATATCGTTTGTCTTTAAAGTTAGCGAAATAAATTTGTTTCTTTTTGATAACATTTTAACAAAAAATGCGGAACGAATAAAAATATTTGAATTTTGATTCTGCTCATTTTGTTCCGCTCTCTAATTTATAAAACGTGTTGTTTAATACTTTAATTCCTTTTTATGCCTGCATTTTTAGTATTAATGTATTGAAAAGAATACTAAATTTTAATAAGTCATTTATTTGAATAGTGCCATTTATAAGTATTTATTAAATATAAAGCTATATTTATTTGGAACAAAAAACATTGATTTGATTTAACAATCATTAATTTTATGTAAATATTTTCTGTAAATATTATGTACTGTAAGTAAATGTTTAAAATTGGCATATTCAAATAATTATTTATTTATATTTAGGATACTTTTCTCTCAGTGTGCATTAAAATATTTGGAAGAAGAAATTCGCAAAAATATGCTTGAGAACATACCTTGCCGCTTGGCTGAGGGAGAGCCCTTCCTTCAATACGCTGAAGATCGCCTCCGCCATAGTTTCTGGCCGCCAAGACTTGAGGGGTCCACGTTCCCGGAAGCGCAGGTTATGCACCAGACTCTGGTTGGTGTTCCAGCACTTCTGCCACATGGACTGCAGTTGGTACTGGTAGCTGTCTGCTAGTAAACGCCCCCCGTGGAAAAGAGAAAACACAGAAAAGCAGCTATTAGTCGAAACGGTCGACCAGTTTAAGAACGGGAAGGAAATAAAGGGGCGAAGGTAAGGGATTCAGGGTGAATAAATGTTCTCATTATTGCATGATTCTTTTATTAATTGATCGTCCATCACGCTCGTCTAACACACGTTCAGTTGACGGGCGAACTCTCGCGAAACCCTCAATCCGCGTGCGATCGATCCATCGATCGGGATCAAAACGGAGAGGAGGGAAAACGAATCGTTGTCGCGCATACGATTCTGCACTGTGTGCAAGTTTTATATCGAATCGATATCTGCTCGTCTCGATGCACGCAGGTGCATCTTGCCGTTTATACCTTGAACGTGGGCGGAGTCACCTAGAAAACGGCGCTTAAGAAAGACAGGTATATGTTATATGTGTGTGTGTGTGTGTACGTGTACGCGCGAGTGTGGTAAAGTAAATCTAAGGAATTTACGTCTTTCTAGGTGAAACCCAAATATCGATTGTATTGCCATTCGCCGTACAATCGTTACAGAACATTAGGAGAATCGTCGTTAAACGGAATAAAACATCGCATCGCGGTTAACGTCAACGCGTGTCATTATTAATGCTACTTAACATTAAACCTTTTTTTTACTTAATATTAAAACGAATCAAGAATTATTGCGTCGCGAAGTGGTTTTTGTAGAAACATGGAATGTAACTTACTTGAGAGCACGTCTCAACTTAAGAAATCGGGAACGCATAGTAAACATCGCATAGTAAGACAATCTACATACTGCTTTAGAACACACATCCTGTATCGCTGGTTATTCAAAAAATTCGTTTACATTCCGGAGTAATTTGAACTCCTTATCGCTCATTGCCTTATTAACCAAATCAAATCGAAAAATCAAATCGAACACAATTCCACTTAAATTATCAGACGTTTCACATCTGGTATTACGTAACGCGAAAATGTAATAACTTGATTAATCATTAATTCACTTATAATTGCTTTATTATAATAATATCATCGTGTCCGATCAGGCAACTCGCAATAAAGAGTACACGTCACTTGGCGCCCGATATATCACATACTGTTATAACGCATTAGAGTCTCCTTGACGTATTTTTCAGCGTCGCGTGTGGAAAAATTTATCAAATAAGAGAATCTTAATCGACCGGAGAGAAATTGGTGACGCGAAAAGAGCGGGGGACCTAAAGCGAGGTAACGGGTGAAAGAAACGTCCGGCGCGGCGACACATTTACAGTTGACTTCCGCCGTTCGCGTATGGCACGTATGACCGGCCTCAATTCGCAACAATTATTTGATAGTTAAGTTATTGGGTCTAATTAAGCCTCCTAACCAATTTGATGATTAATACAATTCATCGGTAAAACGCGCGCGCGGCTAGTCGGACTATTTTTAGACCAGCATTCTCGCGGCGCATTTGACGCCAAATCCCCGTTTCGTGTTATAATACCGTTCGAATGTCCAACGACGAGTGACGATATCCGGTGACTTGAACCACATAACCGCCTTCGGAACTGACGTGGGCCTACCGTCGATCCATTCAATTATTAACTTTACGTTACACTTATAAATTTAAATTATTGTCATTCACGCTCCGTTTGCAATTCAGATCTTCTTTGACCAAAAAGTAAAATTTTACTCTCTTCTTTATTTTCCAATTTTTTTTACTAAATATAGTTTTAACATTTCGTTTCAATAACGTGTAAGTTAAACATTATTTGATAATACAATAAATGTTAAAAAGTAACTGAATTTGTCCATATTTTTTAAAGATCTAAAAAAACAAAAAAAATTGAGCTGGACCAAAAAGCCGCAGATTGCAGACGAGAAGGGTTAAATAATAAATTTGGTAGATATTTAATTATTTTTTTATACAAATTACTATGTTTTATTTTATATTCCTTGAAATGAATTAGTGCATTTTAATTAATTTTATTCATTGTATTAAATGAAGTCTTGTAGACCTACCATCAGTAACTGTGTTACAGATCTTAACATCAGTTCCGAAGGATTAACGGCTGAATTACATGCGATCATTTTTCCTCATGTTATCTTTGACTAAGAAGGCACTAAGTACATTTTCTCCTTTCGTGGTTACTCATCGCTTTCGTGGAATGTAGCTGCTAACGGAGTCGCGAGTAAAGACTTTCTCGCTTCGACCGAGGAAGATTCTCGCGAGACAATCTTTCATGTGGAACGACACATCGTAACGTGTCGCTTTCGTTCGTGTCGCGCGTTCAATGACGTTACGCAACGTCTCTTGTTTGGGATCTGGACCAACCTGGGAGAAAAAACGTTTTATATATAATTATATAAAATTATGTATAATATAATTACATATAATTGAATATAATTATATATATTTTTATATAATTATTTTATATGTAATTATATATAATTACATATAAAATTATAAAAAATTATATATAAAATATGTCCATTTATATAATTATATACAAAACATTTTTTCCCCGGGAAGTCGTTTATCAACGCACCGGTGAGGAATCGTCCTCGACCGCTCGTGGATACCGCGGGATTACAATCTTGTTGTGTGATTATCTCCAAGGCGGTAGCAGAGTCGTAACGCGGCCCCGGTTTACGGTCCCGTCGTGAGATATCTCGCCTTTACTTTCGATACTTTATCGCGGGAATGTCGCGCGCACGCCTATTTTAATACCGTTCATTCACACTTAATTCTCTCTCCTCTCTCGCACTCTTCTCTCCCTGTTTCACCCTGCGTTTGCGAGCGCGCCTCTCGCTTACCACTCGGCGTGTCGCACTTTTAGCGGACGCGCGATAACACCGGTATAATATTACATCGTTCTCGCCGGGATTCAATTAACGCGCCGCTCGTAAATACGCGAGCTGCAAGTCGCCCCCCTGGGGGCGACGATCGACGATAATGTGACGCGAGAAGTGCGCCAACGTCGAAGGAGAAGGCGTCTCGCGCGCCGGTTTGTTTCATGGGTTTACCGAGAGCGAATTTACGGACGCGAACGATAACGTAAAGGTACGCTTAGACGACTTTTGCGGCGGAATTATTTCGATCGACGCTCGTTGTACATCGTTCTTTACTATAAGATAACGATAATATTGTATTAAGGTAATTTTCGCTATCCAGCATCCTTTTTTTTTTATTTAGCGAGTTATCTTGAAATCTGACTCCGAGTCTTTATCGGGTGAAATTAGCGGCGTTATACGTTCTTTCTCGGAGAAAAGCCGAGCGAATGGCTTTTGACGTTAATTACCGCGTGTTGATAATTGCTGGATATTAGTTGCTTATTGCTCACGATGCTCGGCGACGTGACGCGCGTGTACACGTCAGTTGCAGTCAATAATTGCCGCAAAAAGTCGGCTAAAGCGTACCCTGTTAACGTCCACGTCCTGTTCTCCGCGCGCGTAATTGAGTCGTTCTTTTTCGCCCCGAGCGCACCGATGCCGATAAAAATATCGTGTCCACCGTCCTGTCCCGCGACACGCTCCGGTGGTGGTAGTATAATCTAATATCATTCCTCTCGTCGTCGCGCCGTCAAGTATTGTGCGTCATGGAATGAGATTTTTTTGCAAACGAAAAGCTAAACGCACGAGGAAGGTATGCCCCTAAAAGTTTTCACCGTCAACCATTTCGAGGCTAATGTTTATTCAGAGAGTTATTATATCGAGATATTGCGTTTCACGTTGAAAAAAGTGTTTGATTTTGCAACTATAACTGCACGGTAAAATAATTATGGCTAAGCGGAGGGGAGAGTTTTTTAATTATTATATTACCGTAAAATGTTAGTAAGAATAATGACTGTATTTAACAGAAAAAGCAGCTTTGCAAATATTGAAATTCCTCAATATGTAATTTATCCATTAAGGAACTATAAGTGTAAGAATTAATCAAAATATCTTACAATACTCGCAATGCTGAGATTTTTCTACTAAACGTATCAACAATATTCATAGAATTATATACCAAAAAATAAATGGTCCAAAAGTAACTATAAATTTATAGTCGTTTTCGGGATCATTTATTTCTTGGTACATAGAACTATAAATATATTTATTCTTACTAATATCGTAGCAGTAATAACTATAAATATGGAGCTTCTAAGCATAATTATTTCACCACCAATTACACAATCACAGATATCAAATAATATTTTTCTCCCAGTGCAGTTCGCAATTACAACGAATTTGATTTCGGTTTAATCCCTCGAGCGAAATTGTGCGTATTTGTAAAAACATGCCGCCGCGTGTTATTTTTACGGACGAATTCTTGTATCAGCTAGGTCGAATAACGATCTTCCGTTTTATCGCGATTTAACGTAACACGTTACTTGAGTCGCGTGTCGACAAATTCAGAGCCGATATACTCGTATATATATTTAGATGTATATGCCTCTCTTTTATACGGTTCGCCGCTTTGCTCTACTTTCATTACGTTTTATCCGCGACTATTCCTTTTGCGCATTACGTCCGTACTATTTATATTGCCATTAAATAACCGGCATAGCCGCGCGACCATTACAAACTTATAATAATATTACGTTCGCGCGTTATTATAGACGGTACGTGCTGTGAAACATTTTTGTTCGTTGATTGAATATTTATCGCACCACTAGATCGACTTTCGCAAGTAGGCGGCATACTTCCTTCATTCATTTGCTCTCCACACGTTCCTAAATCGTCTTTCTAATCTTCCTTAGCCTCAAACAATGCCTCGCTTTAACAGGGAACGGATGTGTGCTCGTTTCATAAACGCGATTATCCATTAGGCAGATTTGGAATGTTAGCAGAAAACGCGCGCTCTTTCTTATTATAGAGAATCGCCTTTCTCTTCGCCATGATCCTAATGTACTATAGAGATAACTATCTCGCGGTTATTGTCGGCAGCGAAAAGACGCGAGTATACAAGATGCGTAACATGGCAACGCTAATAACTTAAACAAATGTTCCGCTAGTAATAAAACTCGTAGAAAATATATGTCTAGTTACGACAATATCGTGAGCATCAACAACGATCTCGGTGATAATTTGGTCCCGTTGAGTTGGAATATACATACACATGGCGATCGGAAAATATGTACAATGTGTAGTACATACGAAGAGAGCCGAGTGTATATCTCTCGGCCTTATACAGTCAGAGAAAAATGTTAGCAGTTACTACAAAACTGACAAACTACACAAGCTTCACGTGTTCAATTAACGTACGCGTAGTTGAATAATTATATAAAACTTTAGTTCATTCAATCGTATAATTTTACACGTAAAACTTGTATAAATACCCTCATCATGGTTGTCATTTTATTGCCATTGTCTTTTCTCTGAGTGCATGCTCGTCGATTAAATTACGTGGAAGACGGAGATGAGTGGAAGGCACTAAAGTCATTATACACTAAATCATTCCCAAGTATGACTTGCAAGAATGCGACTCGCAAGAGAGCGCTCCCGAAATTGACGCGACACGTTCGAAAACACTTCTGCGTCGCTGTATTTCTTTTTCTTATTTATAACTTGGAGGTTACGATAAATTAACGCGCGTTACACTTTTGTTACAATTAATTGTGGAAATTTTCATAAAAGCTTAACGTCGAATGCATCTCTATCCTGTCTCTCGCTCCCTTTTAGTATAAATATTTCTCGCGTACGTTCTCAATACGAATCGAGTTATCCGCAAATAAATTAACGTGAAGTCCTCTTATTGTATAATATGTCATGGAAATTCTATTACTTCGGAAGCGCTGGAGAACCGGAGGGAAAAAGGATCGGAGAATATTGTCGCGAGGGAATAACCGCGCTAATCGCCGTTGATGCAATCGATTCTGATGGATATTAAATTTAATCGAACGTAGATATTTTTTTGCCGATTAAAGCCCCCACCCGATTTTACCGCGTTATCATTTCGCGCGGGCACGCGACGCGAACGCGACGTTCGATTTTCAATTAGCAGGCAAATTCTTTGCCGCGACCTTGCTTGTGCAGCGATTTTCCGCGTTGAAGTCTACGGATTGCGCGTCGATTGTCGGTACCGCGCGGCGCATGCTCCGGAGGAATCATACAAGTGGATCAAAAAAGATAAAAAGGAAGGCAGAGGAGGACAGCGATCGCGAAAGTGTTCAAACGTGTCCGGTATTTCAAGATGTTTCGCGCGTCAAGATGTTTTTATTTTTTATTTCATCCTTATAAGGATTCTCGTAATCGAAACTCTTAAAAAAGTGGATTTAAAGAAATCGTACTTAATCTCAGGATATGTATAATCGAACGTGACATCGCACAGTGCCGTCTCTTATTAGAACGCGCCGGTCACCTTTAAGTTGTTTTTCCCTTTTTTTTTTTTATAACCCGAGAATGCATCTCCGACCGGAGAGACGAATAAAGGTTGCATGACGCGTCGCGTCCGACGGCATGCCCCTGGAAATCCGACTGAACTTACTGTATTCCCTTTGCCTTAATGTCGCCTGAATGAACTCGTTGTCTCTGGGACATTAAATTTTCCACATTTTTCTTCATTTCTCATCCGCAAGGCAAAGAGACTACCGCCGCATTCTCGGCTGACGAGTCTCGCAGTCGCGACAATCGAGAGAAAGACACGGCGGAATAACACTTTAGATTACATTTTCGCGCAATTCTACTTAATCCTTCGGAAATGACACCAAAATTTGTAACACAGTTACTGGGTCTGTAAAATCCATTTAATTTATGTTAATTAGAAGGCATTAATTAATTTCTAAGAATCGGAATGACATAAAAAATATATACTAAGTATATTTTAATAAAAATCCAAATTTTCCAAAGGTAACATAAACAAAATTGAATTGTTCGATAAAGAGATTTATGATTAAGTGTGTCCAATACACTCTGAAGGATTAATAAGAATCAACGTCGTTGTAAAGACCGAACGTTTACCGAATCAGAAAAGAGACAAAGCAAATTTTCACTTATAATTTCAAAGACAAAATCGTTTGCGAATATTGTATATCTGTACACGGAAAGAACAGAAAAATTAAGGGAATAACATCAATATAAATGAAATTCAAATCGCACGAAATCTGAGAGATACTTATTCTTTCCAACGGCCTTTCAAAACCATGTTTCTCCGCGATCAATTTTAATATAGCATTCGGTGGACCGGCGAGCGTTAAGAGGAATCGGCACCGTTCTCGTTCTCGTCGTTGATATAGAGCGAGACTATCGAGTGCTTCTTGCAAAAGGCCCACCACCAGCGGAAGCCCGACAGTCCGGTGAACATGAAGCCGGGGTCGTGCTTCCGCCTGAGACGCTCCACAAAATTCAATATCGCATTTAGAGACTTCTTCGTACGCCGATTGTACGGACTGACGCTGATGTCGCAGCAGAATTCGAGCACTGCTGATTCCTCGCTCGGGTCGAGGGCGGTTTCTTCAAGGATCATCATCCTCTTGGACTTGCCGAGGATGTTGTCGTAGAGAGTGCCCTTCGGGATACCGTATTTGGTGGATGCCTGGGTGAAGCGCATCTTCTGGGTCACCACGGCCTCGATCGCTTCCTGGAGATCGTGCCGCGTCCATGTGGGCGCCTTCAGCTTCAGCAGGGTTGTATAGTCAGCTAGAAAATAGTCAGCGGTTTCTTTTCGACTTTCCAAGCCTCGTTTCTCGACTTTTAATTTTTCGCGTTGAGGACCGCGCGGAAAAGCCGCACCTAGAGAAGATTGAAAATCGCGCACCTTGATGCTTTCTCTCTCTTTTATCTCCTTCACTTTTGCTTTGTTCTGCGTTATTCTATATATTCGGGTGTCCTTTTAGCGTAAACATCCGATAGAACAGCAGGTGGAGTATGTTTGTTATATACAAGAGAAGATGATAATTATCAATATTTATGAAACAGGGTTAGAAAACATGCAGAGGATTCTTTAAAGTAGTTCGTAAAATTCATGAAGCAAAAAACAGTTAGTATAGCACAAGTGCGAAAACAAATGAAAGAGTCAGCGATAAATAAAAAGCTTCAGGAAGAGAATAGGAACGAAAGACGAAATATACTACTGAAATGTTTTTTACCGAGTGCACGCAATTATTAATTATAAAGGATTAAGAAATTATACATATTATATATAATTTATAATTAAAAATTATATTGCTGTGCTATTTTTTCCGTACAGACTAAATAAGTGATTAACGCAGCTTGCTAATGAAAAGAAAGCACGAAACCTGGGAGGTGGCAAGTAAACGAAAATAGGAGCAGAATATATGGCGGAGCACTCGCGAGGAAAAATATATCACATCGAGTACGAATTTTACGAGGCTCTCAAGATTCATTCGTCCCGAGTAAGCAATCAAAATAATTTAACAACACTAAAAAACAAGGAGGTGGCAGCGGTAACTTAAAAAGAGCATCGCGGGATTGACGGAGAGAAGACCCTTCTCGAAGGACCCTTACGAAGTAGACTTTAAGCGATCGGCTTGAAATAAAAACATGTCGATATTTAATGATCGTTTTACACGTGTCGCTGTCGTAATTGTCGATAATTATACGGTGCAATTATTATAATTGCATTGTAATTATCCCTTTAGTCGTTTGCATTAACCAGTGCGTTGCCGATCAACTTGAAGCGAAAGAGCCGACGAGAAGACGAGGGCAGGGCGAAAGGGAGAAGCGGGAACTGCGGGCCACTGTGTGGTCCACAGAGCGCGTCACACCCACGCGTGTTAGCAGCAGTTAACGTCACTCATGTCGGGGCCGGGGCGATTTATGCGGTGTCGCGGCACCGCGCCGCCGCACCGATTTCTGGTTCACGAACTGCGCGCAATTACGCAGGAAGAAATTTAACGTCGTTATAATTATCGCGTTATCGCGGACGGGAAATGATGATAGGTCTCTTCGCGACAAGCCAGATTTTATTTTATTCTCGTCGCGGCGTGAATTCGCACGTTTTGTAAATTAATTAAACGGTATTTCCATCGCGGATCTGCCATTTCCCCGCGTATATAGATGGATATTTTAAGCACCACCGCGCCGAAACTGCTTAATATACATCGTTTCGGCATGAAGGGAATAGGAAATAAATGAATAGGAAAAAAAAAAAAAATAGAAAAACCCGCAAGTCGCTTTCTTTCAGTATAACAATCCGCGATTGCATAGAAATATGAATAATCTCGTTTCGTGTGCGAATCGATCGTTCCACAACCGCCGCGCGCCGGGAATGATAGCCAGTGGATCAAAAAAAGAAAGGAAAAAAATCGACACGTATCGCGTGTAATGGTGTCGTGGCTAAATCCGGGCTGGGAATAATCGCGTCGAATAATATTATCATACAATGGCGTTTTGCCACGCGGTGCACGTGCAACCTGTAGTTTTGCGCGGAGCATTTTCTCTCGGATTGGCAAATCGTCGTTCACCAGGCGGACAATCGCGGCTAAGCGAACAATCGTTCTTGGGCAATTGCGTCCTCAAAAGGCGCGTGTAGATTAAATATTAATCTGATTACCGAGTCGCCTCATTGGGACGTGTACCGTCGGGAGGAATTCTCAATCTTTTAATTTATAGCAAAGAGTCTATGATCCATGCTCACAGACAGCACGAACGTTTGTTTATCCTCTCCTCTCTCTGTCAGTAAATCAATGACATTTTTTCCAAAAATCTTAACGCTCCACCCGCCAAGTTGGATTTTTAAGACAAGTGTCTCAAAATCTGAAAATAACATTTTAGTCAACATATTTCCAGATCTGTATCTATCTATACCTAAATTTACTTCATCAGTAAAGTCGTTCCTTCCGCGTTTAGTAAAAAAATTCGTTGTTAAAATATTCACAAGTACGCAAGATTTTTTTCAGATTTTCAATCACTTTGGAACAGTGGAAACTTTGCACTGAAGCCTAGATTGCTGACAGACAGAAGGTACAAAATTCCGTATGGCTGTGGTGAAGGGTTAAAATATGTCTACAACCGAGACGTAGAAATAGCGCGTTTTCAACTGTCCAAGTCCCTCGACTCCGAAATGAATATTGCCTAGGAAAGGGAAATACGCGTTTCCTTGTAACTTTTTATCGTTACTTTATTATCACAATTTGGTAAAAACGGTAAAAATTTTTTTTTATGGCAGCAACGGTAACACTAGAGATGGAAAAGTTAATTGTTACTTGTAACAGAAAAGTTACTCGTTACTAAATAAAATATTATTTATGACGAGTTTTACTTTTACTCGTTACATCCTAAAAAATATTAGTGTTAAAACACCGCTATTTTTTAGAGTGTACTTGTAACGCGTTACAAGTCAATATAACAAATGATTTATTTTTCAATAATACGTAATATAGTGGCAGTTACTTTTCAAAGTCGCATCCTCAGTGTTTAGTTAATTATCGTTACAGTAAAAAAAAGTTGCAACATTATTATCAAATCGTTGCTATAAAAAGCAACGATAAAGGTACGGGATTGCTATACTTTCAATCCCTGATAACGTTAACAAGAAAATCATATCGAGTAAGGGTATTTAAATCTTGGAAATTCTAAACTACTCATTTTTCCGTGGTAAGCACGAAGCGAAAGTGGAAACCCGATGTTCGCTTTAAGAAACGTTCTCGTCGCGGACGAGAAAAGCGCGGAATAAATAAGCACGATCGTTAAAAGAAGCAAATAGCCGGCGGCAGCGGCCGCGTCTCATGGGAAGTCAAGGAGTAATCGAAGAAAATGATTTAAGCGAACCGAGAGGGGGATATGCGCCTACGCACGCATTCAGTATACGCTTAAACACGCACGTACGCACGCACGCACGCACGCACGCACGCACGGCACAAGGGATCAATTCGAGACGCATATTGCGACGTTTATGTGCGTTTATGCGCATTTACGCTCGAGCGTATGTACTACGACAAATCAGGGCTCGGAGACGAAGAATACGGCTGGGAAAATTTATTTGAACCTGCCTTTGAGCAACCAGAGTTCCCCATACATTGAGAGAAAAAGTATTTGTGATTATAATTGACTAAAATAATTGTTAGGGATTTATAATTATTGCTGTTATAATATTAGTAATAATTAATTTATATTTATTATATAATTCTCTATTATTACAAAATACTATAAGGCAGAAAAATTTCAAGTGTTACTAAAGTAAAGTGTCGCACAAGATATGGCTGGGAAATAAAAAAACATTTTTACCTGGCAAGTACAATCGCAATTCCAGTATAACTATTTTCTTAACATTTGCTTATTATTATTTATATGATAATAATAATTTTTAAAAATTGTTAAAAAACTATACATAGTTATTTTTATTAACAATATAACATGTTACCACAATATTACCATAATTATGATAACATGTAATTATAGACACAAATCTGAAAAATTCTTTTTTTAGTATATTCACAGCTTCGAGCACTACGTATAGAATATACGTAAATACACAATTATACGAAATCATAAATACTTCTCAATCAATCTCTTGAATATGCAATCGCTGATTTAAAAGTTCGAATATTTTATTGCACCTGTCACTTAATATCGTCCTTCGACTCACGGATTAAAGTACCGGTAAAAATTGACGAATGCTTGTTTCTAGTGCGATATCCAAAGATTTCACAAATGGAAACTTGTATTTAAGTGGCATATAGCCGCGATCGATGGCGCGCAATGGTTAGACGCCTGAACCTTTCGCTTGCGAATCGCGGGCATGTTATCGCTGCTATTAACCGGCGTCCGCTACCCGCATCGTCTATCTAAATTGCTTTCTATATTAAAGCAAAACGCATTCCCGCGCTTTATTATTGTCGGGCTCGCGTTCCTCCCTTTATTTTATTATTGTTCGGTTACCACGTATAACTCAACATCGCGACCTCTCTCGTGTTGCCACCTCCCGTGGTTGTCAACGACGACGACGGCCATGCTTCCAGGAACCTTATCGTCCACAAATAGCATTTGAAGAGGCAAAGAGGGTAAATAATAGGATATTGATTTACAAATAGCGACGGATGTTCCATCCCCGCGAAAGGCAAAGCACGAAATTGGGAGACGATCAGTGTCGTCGTTTCTAGGACGAGGTTTTTGTCACGTACACAAAGCTGATGATTCAACTGTACGGAACAACGTGACCATGAACTTGAAAATGGAGCGAAGCGAATCGGGCAACGGCCCTCGAAGGATGCTCGAGGGATACTCGAGAACAGGAAATCTCCACTCGAACTCGGAAGGGATGATCGGTCGTTGCGCCACTACTTACTACGGAAACCGATCGTCGGAATTCGTTCGACAGATACAAGCGCCAGATAATGCGACAGATATTGTAGAAGAGGAATGCGAAGTCTTTTATAGATGTCGCGAAACAGGTTATACGGGGTGTCTTCAATCAATTGTACTTTCCTTTAACGATAGATGGAACTTCTATGTCTCATAACTGATTAAAACTGAAGATAAATTTCAAAAAATATGTATATATGCGACATTAGAGAGAGAGAGAGAGAGAGAGAGAGAGAGAGAGAGAGAGAGAGAGAGAGAGAGTAAAGAAAAGAAACAATCTTATATTGCATGTTTTTTCATTATACTAGCATTATTCAAATTTCCATGATAACATAAAACTTTCTTTGAATATATTTAAACTACATTTACGAACTATACGCCACACGGAAAGAAAAGTTTTTGGAATTTATGACTATATAATTACATGATACCATACTTATTATGTACGATTGATCCTAAAAATGACTATAGAGTAAAATTATGTTAATTGCAATTATTTTTCTGATACTACATTTATTGTCATTTTCAGTGCTATTTATTGTCATTTATGTGTAATTTTTAATAGAATTATAAGTATAATAATTATTATTAACATTACAGCAGTAATAACCATGTAATTTTTTATAATTACAAATACGAAAAACTTTACCCTCAGTGCAGATAAAAAATCGCAACCACGATTTTATTTTGATAATTTTAATTTTGCTTTCGGTAAATCTATCGGTAAAAGAAAGTTTGAGGACACCCTGTGCATAGAGATAGGCAACCAGACGTTGTTACGTTTGTGTGCGTTGCCTAACGTGGAGGCTTCCACGTTTACGTCCGGCCTGGGGGCCGTGTCGAGAGGGCGATTATCTCCTGAAACGTATCGAAACGAGACGAAGAGGAGAAAAACGAAAACGGGACTCACCTGCTATACTGGAGGTGGAGGCGCCGAGCCAAGCGTGGGACGACTCCAACAACTTGGCCTGAAACAGAAAAGGTCGGTCGGTCAGATGTCAGTGTGCTGGAACAACGATTAGCGGCGATTTAACGGCTGGTTGGGAAAACGACTTAATCTTTTATCCGCGCAATCTTCTTTTCTAACCGGAAGCAAAACGACCCGGGATAATTATTTAATCGAAACTCGTCCGCGGGGGAAAAAGAGTTGAAGTATTTTAATCCCTATTGGTGCGGCGCTTGATATCGCGCAAAATACGAATTGTTTAGGTTTTAAAATTCCGAATTATACGTAACAGAGAATATATCAATATATATTTAAATCGCATTAAATCGGACCATGGCCGAAAGAACGTTTTAATCATCGAATCGTTTGTTGAATTTTATCTAATCGTAAGCTTATATCTTCGTTTTAAAACAAATGGTATGTTAATAATGACGATGAAGATAAGGATAATAAGTATAATAAAAGATTTAATCTCATAAATGTAAATGGAGTTCACGAGATAGGCAAAATAAGTATAATAGTTTGGGAAAAATTTTACACTGAGAAGAAAGTCTGATAATATAGCTACCAAATGTATTTTGTTTAGCATATTGATGTAATATTTAGAGGAGTAAAATTAACGTTTTTAGTTGGTCTGTCTAAACTACTTTTTTTTTTTGTTATACATGGGAAGGATGGTTTTGATAAAGTATCTGAAAATTTAGATAGATACACAATTGAAAATAATCTTGTTACACCATTAAAATAATTATGTTTGTAGAACGCCCAAACTAGTTGATAGAATATTAAAACTTTTTACAGTATTGTTTATCATGTTTGAGATTATTATTTCACAGCGATGGTCCAACAAATGTTATTTTCAGATCTGTATCTAACTAAATCTTTATAGGTACTTTAAAACTATTCTTTCTGTGTATTAACCGAAAATTTGATTGAAATTAACTAAATCTTTATAGGTACTTTAAAACTATTCTTTCTGTGTATTAACCGAAAATTTGATTGATATAAATTTGATTATATTTCACCGAAGCGTTTAGTAACTACTTATCGTCCACGATTGGTAAAGTTACTTTATAAAAGTAACTCGTTACCGTAACTGTTCTTTTTTCTCGTTATCCGTTACTGATTTAAAAAAAAAACTTGTTAACGCCATTATTACACTGAAAGAAAAGACTGACTGCTGCAGCATCCAATTAAAATTGCTATGCCATATTCAGCCAATCTTTTCTTTCAGTGCACTTAAAAAATAACGTGTCGTTACAATTTTCGTTACTTTTTGGCATCTTCTTCAGAGTGATATTTAATTGTCTTGGTAGTTAATTGCCCGAGTTTAATACGAGACCTATAGTGGTTATGATGATAATAGTTAACTGCAACACGGTCGAACACTTTCTTCTTTTGAAACTCGCTTATATATAAATTCTATACACGCATATCTTCTTATATTTATTATCGTTAACCAAAATGTAACTCTTTTATCGCATTAACGTTGTACATAAGAAAATGTAACATTGTTGCCTATTTGTTATCGAGCAAAGTAACCGTAACGATGTTACATTGTAAAATCTATAGTAGCAAATTTAACCTTTATTTTAAGTAAGTCGTCACCGCTTCCATCGATACACATCGTTATTTTATAATAGCGTTAATTTAATGCTATATGATGACAAATTGATACTATACTTATAGATTTAAAAGTGTACAAGTAACACACGTTACTTCCCAACCTTGCTATCACCTAAGTTCGACTATTGCCATCAAACTTTGTCTTCAGTGACTTTTTCTTCTCGATCTTGCAATGTGACACAATACAAAAAGGCGACTTTCCAACAATCTTCCGGGATTGCAAGGGAAAAATCGTATGCACCAAAAATACCGAGGTAATCCGAACTGTTCACCTCGGCCGACAACTTTGCTAATATGCGAGGCTTTTCGAAGGGGATTCGCGAGACGCCGGAGCACCGAAAGCGCAAGACACACGCAAAGTTGGCTCATTTGAAAAGTTTCGCCTCTTTCCCCCTTGGGCTTTCGGATTTTGCGATTTCTGCAATATCGTAGGCAAGCGTGTGTGCCGGTTAGACTTGTTGTATACATTATACTTCCGGACCGAGCCTCTTTCTCCGGTCTGACTTCTCAAATTAATTTTTAAAGGTCGCTCGATGCGCCCCAATCGCCACTCAAATCCTTCCACCCTATTTTCTCCCTTTTTTTCCCTCCCTTTTCCTTACGCTTTAAAGTTTTGCAGGTTCGCGGATTCTACTCGCAAAAAGCCAATATCGAGAGACGTAACATTCGTGCGTGAAGATATTTTCGGCCATTATCCATTTTGTCCACTAAAGATGTACCTTTTATTTCGAACTAAAATTGGTCGCAATTATTATGAAAATAAATGAATTTAAATTTTTATGTATTAACTTTTAAGTAGATAGAGATAAGTGATTTAAACATATGCAAATTGATAAGCAGAATGCAGAAAACGTCCAAAAAATTAAATTTTAATTCTAAAGTCAAGTTGTATCTTTTACACTAGATTATGTCAGTTAAATTTACATTCGTATACATCTAACATATCATATATATATGATTGTGAACAAAGAAATGTAAAAATAAATCTGAATCTCAAGACTTCTGAGCACATCTAGGTGACACATGCTTCTTCTCTTTCCGGAATAAGATTTTACAGAAAACTATATCTGAGATGTTGTGATTACTCCATTTACCTACTTAAAGGTTAATCATACTTGAGTATCGACAGAAACGCGAATGCAACTTAAATACTATTTCGCACAATGGGACGGTTTTCAGTATTCTTTTTGATTTGACGAGAACGCGGAAACGTCACTCTTCGGAAGTGCAGATAGCGCAGCAGTATACGAGAACCTCGTATTGTGCTGCGGTATATTTAAATTGTTCAAATCTATTCAAATGTACACAGCCCCCGCCCCCCCCCCTCTCTTGCCACTGTGGCGCCGCAGTTACCGTAAATCGTTTTTCGGGGTTTCTCGCGGTCATCAGAACGAGGGAGGGCTTTCTACGAGGAGGGAACGAAAGGCGGTGGCGGCGATGTAGCGAAATAACGTCTCCACCGCGCCGTGACACGAGGGGGATGGCACCGAGCGTTGGCAATTTCGCGAAATAGCCCCGCGTCAATACACGTGCACACGCATCTCTCGGCTAAACCACACAAAGAATTATTGAGCAGCCTGCTCGCTGTTTCCGACGAGCCTCGCTCGAGCCGGAGAAGGACGCATAAGTGAGAGACCAAGAGGAGGGGGGGGGAGAGAGAGAGAGAGAGAGAGAGAGAGAGGAGAGGAAGGAAAGAGATAGATAGAAAAGGGGGGGAGGGGAGAGAGATTGAGCCCGCTCTGCAGTTGTAACTTGGACGCGCAAGTAGTATATCGTGGCGCGTGCATTTTTCATTGTCTCGTGTCCCCTGCGTCGCGCCGCGCGCTCTGCGGTGCAGCTCGCGGAATACACCGTGCAGAGTGCATACGCGACGTGCCGGTTGACGTGTGCATTGACGAGAAAATTGCGAGCGTCCCTGTATATCGCGGTCGCCCACCCTCGACAGCGTATCCCCCTCTCTCTCTCTTTCTCTTTCTTTTTCCCCTCTTTTTCCGCGTTTTTTCCGCCCCCTCTTGTCATCCCTTCCTCCCCCACTTCTTTTTTCAGACCGTCCCTTTTCAGGTCGTTCTTACGTCGCGCACGGAATGCAACGCCCGTCCAACTCGCCTTTCTCTTTCTCTCTCTCACTCTCTCTCTCTCTCTCTCTCTCTCTCTCTCTCTCCAGAAAGGATAATCCCGTTCGACGTACGTTACGACGGGAACAGGACGTGATAGAAGATTTTTATAATGAAAACATTGCGTATTACGTGCGGCCGAGTAATTAAGGATGCGCGAACGAGGATCGTGATGTTCCCCTTATCCGTTTTCCTTCCGACAGGGATTTAAACTACGGTTCACCTGATGCAAATGTTGAAGTGTTCTTTGATTAGACGATTAAAGTAAAATTCTTTTTTTTTTTTATTCATCAATCAAATTCCTCGAAGCATTTTGTAGCGCTAAGTGGATTGCTTAAGGCAAAGACTAAGAGTGCGATGTAAATCGATCGGTCGAAAGAAATGTTTCTATAGAGTCATTCAGATTACGAAATATTACAATTATTAAAAACATAAAAGAGATAATTTTTTTTCTGTTACGGAACGTAATTAATTCCACGCGTCAATTTTGCGAGATGAATTTTTTTATTAGCGGTCACCGATTACAACTCTATAGGTATATCCAGTCTTTCTTCACGTCGTACTTAAGAGCTTCAGCAAACGAGGAGAAAATCGCCTTCGGAGGAGAAAGAGGAGGAGGAGGATAAGCGGCGGCGACGACGGCGTCTCGACGCGCATAGAGACAGTGACCGTCGGCGTCATTCAGCGGCGCAGTCTGCATCTCAATTTGTTTCGACGTGCAGCGGAACACCCGTGTATATAGTCCGGCTAGTTTCTGTATGATGCATGCCGCTAATGGAAATGAGACCCCCTCCTCCTCCCCCCCCCCACCCTCTCTTTCTCTCACTCTCTCACATTCTTCCTCCATCTCGCCCGATTTCTCTGTCCGGTCCGCAACGCGGAGCATGCATCCGTCTCCATCATCCCCTTCGTCTTTCCCTTTCAGCCACTTTCCCCTCTGCTTGCCTCCGACGGGAGGGAAGACATGAGCCACCCTAGCCGCGGTACCGGGGGGGATTCGTGAATTAAATATCGCGCCGAGCTCGTGCGCGATTTTACCCCGCCCGTGAATCTCTCCGTTTCTCTTTCTCTCGCGCTCATCCCCCGTGAGTTCTGTTGCTCCTCTCGCTTCTCTTCAGCACACGCTCGCTATTAACCGCCTTCAAATTACCGGGCTGACCGCCGTGAATTTTTCACGTACGCCGCCGTCGCGGTAAGCTGACGGTACCCTCTCCTTGATCGCGCTGAGATGCGGTCGGAAATTCCGAAAGCTGTTTAAGTCCGACGGAA